AGAATACGAAAATCCCTTGGGACAGTCGTTGTGAAACAATAGACATGCTTTGTCAGGGTATCAAGGTTATTTTGATTATTTGAAGATGGAAACTGCTGCTTTATGGAAGAGCAAAGTAAAATGTCATTTGCACAGTAATGACGTTTTTAGAGGGGTGACTCGCTAGAAGTATTCGCCGTGACTCCGGACTTTTCATTCAGGTTTATACAACACTTACTTTTTACTATCACGAAGGTTTAATGTCTTGTTTGTATTTGCACAATGTGAATGAGGGGTTTACTCCTTTGCTTCAATTACAACTACATCTCTGGAAATATCACTTGCTGTTTACCATCCATATTTTGATATCCCACAATGTGTCGATTGCGTATCTGGAAATTCCAACTACTTTTTCGCAAAATTTGACCAGCCTTGCTTCTACCAGTCATTTAAGTCAACTCCCATATTGTCCTTCAAAGTGAAGGTTAATGCAGATATATTGTAAATTACACAGAGGTAACACTACAATACATTTCCCTTCACATTCCCCTGTATTACATAACAATCTTTGAGCTGAGGCAGTTATGGTTCTACAACCATCACCAGTTCTCTTGTTTTATATGTTTTATATGTTGCTATTTTCTATTTTATGAACGCTACTGCATGGGTACTGAACAGTGTTGGTCGGTTCAGTTTAAGTTATTTTGGGTGAGTTGTGCAACATGAAACTCCACGTGTAGCTAGCTGACTTGGCAGTTGACTTGTTTGTATATTCATGGTATTATAATGCTGGACATCGTCTTTGATTGAATCGTCGTTTTATGTGTCATACATATATCTGAGATATTTTCCATATGCAAAGTTGTGTCTAAAATACGAAAATTGTATGATCTGCGAATTGTTTGTATTGAAAATATGCATTTGACGTTATGGCTTTATATCTTATTCAAAAATCTTCAATTTATTAGAAGGTTATTGCGATTCGCTATCACGGGTCAAAGGTCACAGACATGTATTTGGTGATTTTGTCTTATCTGACGGTTACCGGGCAAATTGAATAGACTGTCCCGTCTATTGTCCTTATCGTATTTGCTCGGTACATGGCGTAGACCGCTGGATAAATACAACCAAGCGATGATACGTGATCTAACACAACACCTATGGCTTGACAGTCCTTTTGAAAAGCTTGATAAATGTCATATCAAGCAATTTCAGATATATTTCTGCAGTGACGTTCAAAAAATCCAGCTGTTTTCAATTATGATTTGTTATCGATGTACACCGGTACAACAATAGGCGGCTGATTACTAGTATTTAGTTCTCAAGGACACGCCGCCAAAAGTGCTGGGGGACACGAGCACCGTGACCGCTGTAGTAATGTATGAATGTTTCTGGTCGCAGTTGTCCCTATTCTAGACACATCTCGGTTACTAACCGTCGACACATGGACCATTTTGCGAAGTCGGCGTATGATTGATAATTTAAGACTGAATTTTCATTTTTACTTAGAGATATTAATTAAGTCACCTTGACAATTACTTGTGTGGATGATTTCCAGCTAATTGATAATTTTAGGACATCGCGTGTGTAAACAACATCGTCCCGAAGTATATTAGATTCACGGAATTCGATAAAATGTCAAAGAATAATATTAGATGCCACAACATAGACATTATGTGGCATTCTTCAGAACCTGACCCAAACAAACGAATTATTCACGATAATATTGAAATCCCGTAGTTTGCGAGGATATATATTATATTTTTATTAGACGCATAAAATCCTTAGGAAAGGATAAAAAGGGTCTTACAGAAAGAAATTAAAAAACAAACAAACTACAATCTAAAAAAGAAAACAAAAAAGAAAAACATTTCTAAAAAAAAAAAACAAAAAACAAGTCAAAAACAAAAAAATACAATTTGCAGCCAATGGTGAATACAGAATATAGAATGAACACAGAATGTGGCCTAATACACTGATAGTTGTTGCTGTTTTGTTCCATAGCTGTTTTTTAAGAAGACAGCTAAGGCTGGTGCTAGAGTATGGTTTGCCATAATCAAAATGAATTTATTCTGACTATTTTCTTTATCAAAATTTGGAATTTTATTTTGTGCAGTCAGGAATAATTTGTCCCTATGGTGACTGTAAGCTGGACATTTCATTACAAAATGTTGCTCATCCTCAACTATATTTTGGCTGCACATATCACATGTTCTTTTATCCAGCCGCACATTATTATAGTATGCGTGTATTTCAGTGACAGCGATGAAAGTGTCGCCATCTTGACTAAGAATTGTGGGATATAATATTGATATTATGATGTAGCTTTATTATGATTTTGATCCTTTGAAGCTAAATGCATAAAGTGTTTGAATACTTACGTATATATATTTTATCGAGTGTTCACTACTGTGACAATCTTTGTCGGTCGTTCAGAAATTAGATATGTATAAATGAGTCCTTTTCGAACAAGAGTCTGTAAATTATTCCACTATTTCAGAATATCCCAGCACCTGTTGCTGATAACCATTGAAATTAAATTAACATTGATTGAAAGTAACTATTTCTGCCGTTAAACTACAGGGTCATACAACAAAAGCTTAACAATGGAATCTGTGACAAGCGACTGAAAATTTGATAAAATGTTTTTTTTTTGTAATCTGGCTGCATTTTTTAATTATGGAAACGGCTCTTCCAAGTACCGATCATGACATCGTGACTGACATATGACCGACATGTGTAAACGATTAGGTGTGTTATATCATAGTATCATAGTACAAATGTACTTAGATATATCTCGTCGACTTGTGACACGAGTTAGGAAACTAGTACAAATGGAATCAACAAATATAGGACTATGTGAACATACAATCCATAATGTTATTTCGTTGATACAATTTCGATATTATAATGTCATTTGCTAAAATTACAGAGCACACATAATGATTATAAAGTAATATAATATTATTGTGTTTGCAATCGGCAGACACTAATTAATTCTCTTGACATAAAACCGTCGGGTAAATATACAACTAGTATGATTGTTGTGTTTACATTTGTCTCTCAATCTATATAACTGGTCACAAAATTAGTCAGTTAAGATGTACCGGGTTTGATCTTTGTATGGCACAATTGCGTCACGTGATCTACACATTTCCTTCACCTCTTTTTATACTGACGGTAATGTTTCATTACAGTCATCACAATATCGTCAATTGCACGTCAGTTGAAGGCCAGAACACACACCATAAATAGCATTAGCATTGTAAATAATACCCAAATCCCTCCACACGCACACTGCTAATATCAACCATGGCGCGTTTAAACCACCGCGCGTGCAAATCGCTACCATTGCCTCCCAACTCTTATTATTTTTTTAAACTGGCTGAAATTGCAATTTTTTTTTGTCGTAAATATATCACAATTTCACAGTTTTAAAGCTTCCCATGGTACATAGCATCGGTAGCAGACTGTATGACTCAGACTGTAGTGCTGTTTACACCATCGTATTTCAGTATCACCAGCGATAAAGGATAATAAA